CCTACTTATTGACAATCGTTTATTAGCGTTAATGTTTCTTTTTGTGAGTCCACTACGAACTTTTCATATATTTTTCACTTCTAGATATCACTCTTGAGCCACACCTTCCCGAGGTCTAGATATCACTCTTGAGCCACACCTTCCCGAGGTTCCTCTTTCCTCTTTATCTCCTCAGCCTTGTTCTCTTCCGTCTACTACTTCATTACAGGTTTACACTCCAGAGATCAAATACACTTGTTGTCATGCCTCATCAATCTTCTTCAGTCTTTATAATATACACCATCAGCTGTATCTGATTTCTTGCCTATTACACTTCATAAAGGTACTCAATCTTATGTCCCTCGTCATCGCATTGCCCATTATGGCTCCTATAATTCCTTGTCATCGTCTTTCTCATGTTTTCATCTCAGTTGGCGACTACATTTGTTTCTAAGACTGGGCAAGCTGCTCTATCTAATCCAGGCTGGAGGAAAGCAATGGAAGATGAAATGGATTCCTTGCATCATAATGACACGTGGGATCTTGTTACATTACCTCCCAGTGTCAAACATGTTGGTTGTATGTGGGTATATTCTTTGAATTATCTTCCGAATGAATCTGTTAAGCATTTAAAAGTGCATCTTGTTGCATATGTTTATACCTAGACTTATGGTGTTGACTATGATGAGACATTTGCCCCTGTTGCTATGATTTCTTCTGTCTGTGTATTGATTTCTCTTGCTGCTAATCTTAATTGGCCCTTGTTTCTGTTAGACATTAAAAATGCTTTCTTGCATGGTGACTTAGCAGAAGAGGTTTATGTTGACTTTAAGAGAAAATCAAAATAATAGTAAAGTAGAAGAAGATGAGAAGAAAGAGGAGAGAAAAAGAGAGAGAGATGGGGAAATGGATTCCAGCATGTTTCCTAGCACCTCCCAACGCTGGAGTCAAACTAGGAGTAGACCCAGCTTCTTTTGAAGTCACCTCTGAGCAAGACATTTTATCAAATAGTTTCTGGGTATACTCTCCTCATAAACAAAACAGCAACAAAATATGCAGAGAACCACCTCTCTAACACACAAACAACTGCAACTAGAGAGATTATCGTCTTCTGAGATGCATAAAAAAGTGACAACGCAGTCACCACACAAACCCTAGAAAGCAACAAAGTAGACCATACCAGAATCGCGAATGACGAAGAAAAAGCCATTGTTGCAAAACCACGCAAACACGAAAAAAACACCAATCGAGACTACCACTACTTCCTTTCAAACAAATCCCATCTTGGATTCTCTTCAAAACCCTTCACACCCACTAGGGCACGAACTTGCCGTAGGTTTTCAACCACACACCCTAGAGCTTTACAAACCATGCTCTGATACCATGTTGACTTTAAGAGAGAATCAAAAAAATAGTAAAGTAGAAGAAGATGAAGAAGAAGAGAAGAAAGAGGAGGAGAGAAAAAGAGAGAAAGATGGGGAAAGAGAAAGAATGAAAGAATACTTTCATCCTTCCATCACATTCTATTTATACTAACAAGTTTCAGAAATTACATATAAGCACCCAACATTATATAAGTAATAACAAATAAGCCCCTGACAACAGGTCATATGGAGCAACTACCTGGGTTTGTTGCTCAAGAAGAGCAATTATTTGAGGAAGCATTAGAAATTGGCCTTCGCCGGTGTCAAACAGATCATTCAATATTTCATCAACATACTGAAGCAGGTTTTATATTTCAAGTGGTATTCGTGGAAGACATCGTAATCACTGGCAATAATAAAACAGCTCTTGCAGCGGTGTTTTCATACTAAAGATTTAGGCACACGCATATATTTCTTGGGAATTGAAGTTGCTCAATCTAAGCAAGGCATAAGCTTGTCTCAGAGGAATAATGTGTTTACTTACGGTAGGAAACAGGTTTGTTAGGTGGTTGTCCGGTTGATGTTCCTATGTGTTGGTCTATGTCCTAGGCACTATTTGCACATTTAATGTCAAAACAGGCTTCATTATTTGACATGGACTTGTCTTTGTTGGTTCAAATGTCCATAATACTATTTAGCTCCTTTACACCTAGAGGTGTACTGCATCTGCATTATCTTAGCATATTAATCATGTGTATGTCGCCTGCAGTTATTTACAGGTTTTGTGTCAGCATCTATTCATTGATTACCATATCAAGGACTCCGTGTATTAGTTGATTTAATGTGTTATAGATCCTAGTTCATCAATTCTGGCATGATGCTTAGTCTGAATGTTTGTGAATTCAATTGAGCACCCTGCAGGATCCTTATAGGCTCAGTTCAACAGATATGCACTAACAGCCCTTCAACGGCATTTTTGTAAATATGCAAGTATCTTAGGTGCTGCTCACGTGCCCTGCCATCTCACACAAATTCCAGAAGTTTCCTTTGATGAGAAATTATCTCAGTTGTCCTTCACTCATGTACTGCAGAATTCAAATTATAAAGGCAATATTTTTCTGGAAAACAGCTGAGGGGTATTACAGGCATTCCATGCCTGCAACGGTCTGATTATTCCCTGGAAAGCTGATTGGCCAGCTGTCATTCTTATCCATGAGCTGCCTCAGCAAAAGTTTCTATATATATAGAGCTGCAGCATCAAAAATAAGACTGAGCTACATTCAAAATGTTCAACAAGACAAGACAGCTGTATTGAACATTTTGAATAGCTCAGAGAACCAATTTTCTCAAGCCTGCAGTAAGTGTTGTCATCCATTTTGTCAAGTCTGTCTGTATTGTAACACTTATCTTGTGAGCTTGAGATTATTTTACTTCATCTTTTATGATTGTTTCAGTGACTTGTGAGCCTTTGGCCTAAGCATTGGGGTGCTGTGGACAGGGGGAGTGCTGAGTGCACTAGTGGTGAGTTTCGTGAGTGCTGTGAATAAGAGTTCGAGAGATTGGAACTTCAACTTCATTCATGGAAGATGTTAGCTACGCTTTACAGCCTCGAGAACATTTCCCCTATTTTAGGGGTTTTACCTTGTATATTTGGTGTCTTATCATTACTTTCATTTGTCTTGAGCATTTTATCAACAGCTGTGACAGATTAGGGTTTAAGTAGGACTTTCATCGCACACTTTTTAATTCAGTACCTACATTGTATCACAAACCTTCCAAAATCACTCGGCTATCTTTAAAATCATTGTTCAAAAGTAGCTAAGAACCAATTCACCCCTCCCCTCTTGGTTCTTCTCTATGGATCATAAACTTGTCTGATGAGGGAGATCTATTTGATGATCCTTGTAAGTACGACTAGTTGGGAAGCAAAATTTATCTCACCATTACTCAACCTGAAATCGCCTATGCAATCAGTGTTGTGAGTCAGTTCATGGCAGTCCCTAGGTTATCACACTGGAATGTTGTTCTGCAGATTACTCGATACCTCAAGCAAGCTCTGAATGTGGATTGTCGTATAAATCAAATGGCCATCTTAGGGTGAGAGGTTTTACAGATGCTGATTGGGCTGGCTCCCCTTCAGATAGGAGACCCACTACTGGATATTGCACATTCTTTAATCCCTGGTTACATGGAGAAGTAAGAAGCAGACAGTGGTAGCTCAATTCCAGGGCTTCAGTGCTGAAGCCGAGTACAGTGTGATGGCCCACACTTCTAGTGAGTTAATGTGGCAACAACATTTTCTTAAAGAACTTGGCTTGACAGTCAAAACTCCTCTTCCGTTGTTTTGTGATAACCAAGTAGATCTCCACATTGCATCAATCCAGTTCATGAGAGAACCAAGCATATTGAAGTTGATTGTCATTTTATTCGAGACAAGATATTGAGTGGAGACATCTCTACACCATTCGTTAAATCTGAAGATCAACTTGCTAATATGTTAACAAAAGCTCGAAATCATAATCAATTGAATTTTGTATGTTCCAAGCAGTGATTATATACACTCACCAGTGTATATGAGTGTATTTGGAAGTATTTCTCATAAGGGTCGTTTTCTCCCTCAAAAAGTTCCCCAAACAGTACACTCTTTCAAAACCCTAAACTCCTTCCAGACCAAGAAAAACCAAATAATTGTTAAAAGACAAAAGACTGAAAAACCTTCCACCTCTCTCCTCCAGACAGCTCTAAAAGTGACCTCATGAGAGAGAGGTCTGAGGCAGATCAACCAAGAACATACTGGCCAAACCAGACAAAAAATTAAAAGAGGTAAATGGATAAAACAAAATCTGTCTCCATATCTAGCATGTATAAGATCCATCTAACTTCGTGCAGCAACTTATTTCATCGTTCTTTGAAGTCTGTCATTGGAATCAACCATTTTGGGAGCTACTGACCAACACAAAGCCTAAATCTCAAGGGAATTTTGGGAGGTAGTTATGTGGCTGACGCTTCAATAGTTGTATACTTCATAAACTTTTGCATATATTAATGTGATGAGTGTGAATTACAAAATTCAGAATGGAGCCACCTCTACAACTTTCAATTATCATCTAAATGAATAGCTTTAAGTCACAAAAGAAAATTTAAAGTCACTTCTCAAGAAAGTTTTGGTCCCAACAGCTTCTCTTTCCAGTTTAGCAGTGTACCAAACATACTCGACCTTATCAAAGAATATTATCATCTTTGTAACTATTTAAATCATTTTACATGTCAAAGCAACTCTCTGTGTTCTTAATATTTATACCACCAGCTGTACTTACATAAATTCTGATATGTTTGTACTTGTGAACATCACCAATTACCGAATTACTAGAATAGAAAAAAAACAAAAAGAAAAAAAGGGAAAAAGAAAGATCTACACGTCTTTTATACATGTCAAAACAAGTATAAGCCAAATGCCAGAAGTGTGAATGCACAAACTTCATTTTGTCTCCATTTGTCTTCAACAACAAACATAAAACTTTATCATGAAAAATAATGATGTGACTTCATGAATCCAAACTCAAATTATATAAGAAAGTTGCATAAAAAAAGGGCATTTTTTTTTTTTTGCTTTCAAACGATATAAAGCAAAATCAAACATGTTAAACAAAGAATTACCTTTCCAGCCTTCAGAAGATTTTGCAAAATCACATTTAAAAGCGGCTGGGAAGCTTTCTCTCTTAAAATAAGTGCCATTATAGACACCATTGCACTAATCAAACTTTGTGGATGATGTTCCCTGCAAAGCAACAATTACGATGCCATAGGACCTAGTCAGGAACTTTACTTTCAGTCTCTACAGTAGAGATATTATCAAAATTGTAAAAATATATGAACAAAATAAAAGGGGAGAAACAAGCGGATGAAACAATAGAACTAGCCTCCACAAGCGTCAGAAATTTATATAACTTACTTATATGGCAAGTCCACATTAGTGGGTCCTAATCAAGTCCAATTTTCATAGGTAGAATGAGCAATACCCAAATACTGAAAATCATGGATGTACAACGTCTTTTTTGTTGTTAGAAAAAATCACAGCAGGCAGCATGCATTATGCTTGCGCACATCACCTTGCAACATTTCTTTGTCTTTTATTCATTACCCCATCCCCACCCACAGAAGAAAGAGAGAGAGAGAGAGAGAGAGAGAGAGAGATGCAACAAAACTTTTCTTTTAAGGTTACAGTTTTATTTTTACTTTAATAAGAGTTCAAATACAAAAAGTACTCTAAGTTTGTGATTATGGTTTAGACAAGAAGGGAGGAAAAAGAGAGTGAGCTTCTGTACTCCTATCTATTTCTTAGGAGACTAGCAGTTACAAAAGTAACCATGTCCAGAATATTTGCCTCTGACTAATTCTTACATATTCTCACAACAAGTGACATGAATATTTAGGGAGATTAAGGTTCCACCAAAATAGAGGTTGATTAGATAGTAGTATAAATTAGTACATTTAGAAAGTATGACCTCAAAGTTGAACAAAAGTGAGCAACTTTATGTAACTATAAAGCAAAATTTCAATATAATAATTTCGATATATATTCTATATCTGTTAAGAAAGAAAAAAGAAGAAGAATAATTTATCAAAAAAAAAAAAAAAATTGATTAAATATGTAAGATATAACTCTTCTTACTTGCAAATATTATATGAAACTCCTTATTGGTAAGTCCTAGCCGAATCTAACTCCATATGGGTCAGGTTGATATGGATCAAGACAACCCTCTCTCAACTTATGATTCTTGATTCCCAGTAATTTCCCACTAAACCAACAACATTTGATCGTCCCAAAAAAGTTGGCAGAGATCTATGGATGGCAAATAAAGGCCAGAAACCATAGGAATAAGTGTGAATATAAGTTATAAATTAGCTCTCTCATAAAGGGGCCTAAGAATATTTAAGATAACATAAGAAACAAGTCAAGAAGTAGCAAAGTATGACAGAGAGAAAACATAGTCTGATAGAGAGGGACAAAAGGCAGGTGGTGCAGAAAAATTGAAAAAAAAAAAACCAACAACAACAGTAGTAAAGAAATATCAAGACAGCAATAGTTTAAATGGGGATGGAAAAGCATCCTCTTTCAAGGAGATTGGGATAGAATTTTTTCCCTTCCTTCCCTTTGGGTTTCAACTTCTAATGAATCTAATGGATCCTAAAATCAATGTATAATAGCATAAAAAACTTAAACGATATTAATTTGCTTCGTGCGTTTGCTTGGCCTCATGAGTCTGCTTTCAGATGCTCCTGACTAGCAAGGAGTACGAAAAAGAAAATGGACAAAGTAAGAGGATGTGAGGGTCCAATTAGACAGAATGATTGAAGTCAAAAGAAATGAGTATGTGCCAAATTTTAGATAGTTGAGCGGGATTCTAGCACGCTTTCAGGGGATTTGTAAGGCCATATGGAATTAGCATCAGCAAAACATTATTGCAAAAATCAGAGTCTGTATTTTTTGTTTTAGTTTGTTTGAGAGAAGAGAGAAATTAAGAATAAAACAACACAAGGATACACGTGGCTCAGCCACTACAGCCTACATCCACGGCACAGAAAGCCCAAAGGACTACATTACTTTTATTATACTCTCTCTTAGTTTTGTTTAGAATGACAACCTCTATTTATAGGTGAAAGAATACGAGGGATAAATATGAAATATACATTGATGGAGGATTCCTAAAATCAATTCCATAAATCACTCCTATCAATATTCTATCAAGGCTTAAACCACTCCTATCATGATATTCTCCCAACATGCTTTCTTGGGACGTGTTCCTTGTTTGAACATTTTCTAATACAATCTCACTTATCAAAATATATATATATATATATATATATATATATATATATATATATTCTCCCACCGCCCCAAGATGAGAAGATCAAAAGATTTGAGACAAGTTGATCAAGTTGATCCGAAGATCCAAGACGAGTAAATCTAATCACAAAATTCAAGCGAGACTGAGGAGAGCCAAACAAGTCTAGAGTATGGTATGATAAACCTGTTCTAATACCATGTTAATAAAAAAAGTAAAAGATAGAAGACAAATTAAGAATGAAATAACGCAAGGATATACGTGGTTCGGCCACTATAGCCTACATCCACTGCACAAAGAGCCCAAGGCTACATCACTTTTATTATATTCTTTCTTAGTTTTGTTTACAATGACCACCTCTATTTATCGGTGAAAGAATACAAGTGATAAAGATGAAAAATACATTGATGGAAAATTCCTAAAATCAAACCCATAAATCACTCATGTCATGGTTAAGGCCTAGAACACTCCTATCATGATATTCTCCCAACATTAACTAAATAAGTTAAGAATTAGGTAAACCATGTGATCCCTTAACTTTGAAGATGCAAATTGAAGATCATGACAAGGGTAAGGTCATAATCTGTGCAATCATATAATACATCATGGTTAGGATGCATGATATACATTGGAATATATATGTGTATTATATATATAATACACAGGTTTTAAAAGTGAAAAACTTAGCTTTTACAAAAACAGGGTGTCGGTTAATCAACCCATGACAACCAAGTTGGATCAATCAAACTTGAGGTGGATCAATTTAACCTTGCGGAATTTAATTTCCTATTTGGTCTTTGACACTAAACCCCTAATTATTTTGTAAAGAAAGGCTACACAACCAACCCAATCTAGGGTAAAATATACACATGCATACAGAGATAAAAAGAGAGAGCATATGGGCAATCTGAGAGGACTTTTCTTCCTCTTCAGTATCTAGCGTACAGCATTAGATGGTGAATTACGATTGAGAGTATTGAATCTATATACTTGGAGCGTGTTAACTACAATCTACTCCAAAAGCTTAAGCTATTGGAGAAGGGTGCAACTTTAATATTTATATCCTCTCACGTGTAGCCTTCTTTTTTGGTCCAACACGTGTTTTTCAATTTTTAATTAGGGTGAGGGTGACGGTCAAGGTTTGAACAAGCAGAGCTAGGCCTGTGACCGAACCTATAAATAACGTGCTTGTGTTGACAAAAAGTCGATCACATCATTTGAACTCGAGACCTTTGGCTATGATACCATGTTAACTACCATCTACTCCAAAAGCTTAAGCTGTTGGAGAGAGTCCAACTTTAATATTTATATCCTTCAACACAGCGCAACAAGAAGTTTAACAAAAAGAAGAGCAGATTGCATCGGTGAATGGTTTCGTAAATAGCAAGAGAGGTCGGGGAAGAATGTCTGGCGTGAGACTAGATCTGAGGCAACTTAGGTAGTTCTATATGACTAAAATTTTGTACCCATGATTGTAATACCTGTCTTTATAGTGGATTTGTTCAGCCTGGCCTAGGGTCCCATGGTTTTTCCCTAGAGGGTTTTCCAAGTAAATTTGTGTTTTGTGTGCGATCATCTTAATTTAATTTCTGCTCTATTTATTGTTATTTGTGTTTGTTGCATTTAATTAAAATCATCAAAATATAAATTGTAATTATTGGTAGTAAGTTTTATGCAAAACCTATCCACCATTTCAGATGTATCATCAATCACTAGAGACAGGACCTATATGATTTTTCTAAGGAGTGGCTTTCCTTAAGACTTTCCTAGTTTCTTAATTATCATTTTCCCAACAGCAAACTGAAATAGAGCAACAGTGTTCAATGCAATGTAACGTTTTACAGCATCAACTTACATAAAAAGTACTATGAAGCATATCTCAATCACACCCATCCATAAATCTAGAACACACAGATATCAATATATCCTAGATTTATATAAAGAAATTTGACAAGAAACTGGGAATAATTCTGGAATTGCCTTCTTTGCCTGTTTGGTGACAGTAGAAAAAGAAACTGGTAATAGATAGCTTGATCTACAGATTTTTATTATCGGAGGCACTAAAAGCTATAAATGAGACAATGCCATAAGCAAGAGAACTCTCCAAGAAAATCAAAAGATGATAGCTTATTTCTCCGTGTATGCAACTCCAATATCTAGGCAACTTCCTAGCATAGTGAGTGTCCACTACTTATTGATTTAATTCACTTTTTGACCTGGCTGATGGATGAATATAAAGAGCTTGGGAGTCCAAGTGCCAATTCCTATAAGATACCAAACCAAAAGGAATAGAAAAAATAAGAGACTTTTTGAAGGGACGGGTTTGGATTAAATGACTTCGTGACTCTCATTAGTCATTACTAACTCTAGTTTTCTAGCAGCCTTACATAACTGAATTAAAAGTGGAGTCCTCTTTCTTTTGTTTCTTTGGAGCTACTCGGCTGGCTTAATACAGTTTCAAGTAAATAATAGTGTCAAAAATGAATTTTAAAAAAATAAGAAAGGAGAGTTCTAGGGTTGTAATGTTTCTTCAAATGGAAAAGTTAAAAGTCTAAGGAGATGAATCAGGCAGCACCAACTATCACGCAAGATTTCCTTCAGCGCCTCACACCAAAGGAGTAAAAACCAAGTTATCAAAAGGCAAGATAGCAACTACAGAAGAAACTCAGTTGACTATTGAATGCATGTTAGATAAACAGAAGCAAATTTGAGTAAAAATGAAGCTCTAAACAAAAAGAGACGGGAGATGGAGAAACTTAACCTCACAACAGTAAAGAAGGTTTTGAACATTTCAAGAACTAAATTTTCACATCCTGTGTCTAGCATTAGCACGCAAAATTTGAGTTTAGCAACAATCTCCAATACTTTTACCCTCCTCGAAAAATATGGGCTCGTGGTATCAGAGAGCTCCGCGAACATGCTGAGAAATAGTTTAAATATGTCCTGTAACAAGATTCAAAAAACCATATATTGGGTAGTTTGCAGTTACAAGTACAATGTGCACACAGGCAGATGTAGATGCACACATAGAGACAAATTGTGTAATTATCAGATTAAACTTGATACCCTAAAAACTGCATCACTGAAATCAGGATTTGGTGCAAGAATCCGAATAATTTCACAGTAACACATAGCCACCAGTAGTCTAATATCTTTATCTTTATGCTGAAGCAGTCTATGCTTGACGAGAGAATCACTCAGGGGCTTTATGGTAGATTCTAGTGATGCCAACTGATCTAATGCTGGAAATGCACTTGCAGCTTGCTGCAAAGGAAAATAAGACAGATAATGCAAAAATCTCATGGCAATAGAAATCCGTTATCATAAAATATAAAGCAGAATGAATGCATCTAAACACAGCAAGTTCACACAATAAGTAAAATACCATACATGCATAATCCCTAAGAATTAAAAAAGCGTAAAACAAGTTTCTGTTAAAGATCCTTTCTGCCACCTCCTGTAGTCATTTTCCAAGTACAAAAATACATAAATACATACACAAATACACTTTTACATAGAGAATGTACTAGCACATTGTGGCGGGTGGCATGCTATGGTATACTTTTAACTTTTTCTTTAATAAACTCATCCACACCATCTGGTAGCACCCTAGGGTGTCACTCCGGTCTAATTGAGTTCAAATGCTTCACATGGAATACGGGATGAATTTTCACCAAGGTGGTCACTTGAGTCTATAGGATATATCTTTCTTCTTCTTTTCCACAAGGTCTATTTTCTTCTTCAGACTATGTCACTAGACCAAGCCTTCAGGCAGTTTAAACGGGTTTGGACCAAGTCATTGTGCTTCTGCCACTTCTTGGAAAATCAGACTGGTGGGTAAGCCCCATCCCATCACAATTGTATGATACATTAGAGGTTGTTGCCCTATGGCAAACTTAAAGGGGCTGAGGGTGAGGTGACTAAACAACCACTCCAAGAAAAAGTTTCACCCACAGTTCTTTAAATTCCCTGAGAGATATGACCAGGCCAAAATAACCTTCCGAATCCACAAACTCTAGCTAGTGATACAATTAAACCATCCTCCTATATACCACGAATTAGCAACCAAAATTGTAGATATTTTAGGGGGGGAAATAGAAGAAGAATCAGCATATCCCCAATTAAACCTACAGTTCACAAGCCAAAATAAACTATACATATAACTTTCCATGAGCAAAAGAGAAGAGGATAAACACAATAAGGAGCAAATCTCATGAGAGAAAATCATAAGGAAATGGACAGCCAAAAAGATAATGTAAAGTGAAACCACATACAATTCATGAGTTCCTACCTGATCAAACCTATGTTGGCTAGAAAATCAGCCAATAGATTCAACAAGAGACGAATTCAAAAAAAAAAAAAAATTAAAAAAACAGAAAAACAAGAAAAACAAACAAACAAAAACAAAACTAATTTCCCAATCCCAAAGTTACCAAAGATCATTGAACGGATACAATCACCTCCCTACTGATGTATTTAATCATCTATAAAATCTTATTGCCAACAAGAATAAGGAGATATCATGTCGAATGTACACCGTTCTCAATTGAACTTTATTAACTTTTGTCTAATACCCTGTAGAATTGCATTAAAGGCCATAACCTTGGAATACCATTCGTCTATTTGAGCAAACAATCGTCTTAATTTTCTTGAGATAGGGAACAAAATAATTTCATTACCGAGAGTTGGAGAGAAAACAAAATGGATAAGGCCACCTTAACTGAGAAACAAATTTAGAGAGCAAGTTTTACTTCTACATCAATGAAAGAAAGCTTTCATCACAAATAATGAAAGTAAGATTGAAAACAAAGATATGACTTATCAAAAAAAATATTGAAAACAAAGATATGAAGCAGGTAAAGAATTTCATCAAATGCTCCATATCTATGTTTAAAATACCTTTACAATCAACTTCCAGTTTTCCAAATTTCATACCAAAAATAGGATTGAATTGGCTGAACCAAACACCCCAACGGGAGTTCTAGACATGCCTATCAAAGCAATGCTATCAAGTATAGAGATAAAGCTATATCCAAGGAACAACTCCTATTTAATCACCTCACTCATTATTAGTATTATATTTAAAATTGACTCTACATTTCTCAACATGACATCCACATATTGTTGAACTTAATTATTGTTGAAGGTACTAAAATATCATCACTATATATGATCCATCTATTTAGAAGTACGTACAATCCACAAAATTCATGCAGCATACGGTGACGGAGGTTTTGAGTAAGGAATCTTAGGCGACAGGATTCACTCCATCCATCTTCACCATAGTGATGGAGCATTTGACGAGATGGTTATGGTGCAAGGCATCAGGAATGGGAAGAGGGGGGCAAAGCTCCTACCTTTTGTCATCGTCTATATACAGACAATATGATTATATTTTGTGTGCTAAGAAGCATCAACTAAGTTACTTGAGATGTGTGATGTTATAATTTGGGACAATGTTAGCTTAAAAGGTAATTAACCTGGAGTTAGATTACCCCTATAGAGTAAGTCGAAAGAAATAATAGATTTAGCATTTATTCAAGGTGCAACGTGAGAGCATTTCCAAGTTTAACCTTTGCTTTCTGTTGAGCTCATCCTTCAAGAAATCCAAGATGGAAGGAAATGCAATGGCAGAGGAAGAGGTTTGTAAATTGAAAGAGGCAGCATCTATCAAATGGGGGGGGAGGCTAACTCTCATCAAATCAAGTCTGCCAACATATTTCATATACATTTTTACCATCCCAGCAACAAGGGCTAAAAGGTTAGAGAGACACAGATGGATTTTCTTTGTGGAGGTATGTTACCAGATGGTGGATAGAGGAAAAGGCTCTCAAAAAACATTATCTTTCGTAGAAAACAGATACGGGGTGAGATTTTGGCATGATAGGAGGTATTAGGCCGGTAGGACAGGTTGGCAATTTTCGTAGAACAAAACTAGTGTCTGTAACTTTTTCTTTTAATTTCTAGCTTCGGTTAGAAGTATTCGAAGTAGTTAGTCAGTTATTATCTCCCGAGGTCAAAGAATGAAATTAAAGCTACATTCAAGAGCAAATCAATAATATTCATCTTGTAGGGTAAAAAGGTAATTTAACACAACGATGCACTCACCAATAATTAGGGTTTCTATGTTTTCATGAATTTAATCTGTTTTGATTCCCTAAATCTTGTAGATCATGCATCAGAAAGTTTTGGAAACTTCGATTTAAAATTTTTCCATAATGTATTGAACAGCAATAGACTTAGATCTATCAAGGGATCGATTGAGAGCCTCTAGAGTATTTTTTATCGATCGGCAGCAATCTCTATTGATCGAGCAGTTCAGTATATATAGAGTGCATTTTACACTATTAGGCAAAATACATACATCTCTAAACAATCCATATATGCAGATAAAATCATAGAGCATTTTTTGTGAGCTTTATAGTGCATTTTGTTTTTATTTACATTCATCATTCAAGTATTCATTAGTGTAATCTCATGTGTTGACAGTCATCTGCCACGTACTTAATCAAAAATTTCACCACAACCATTCAACCCATACACACAAATTGAAGCCTGGACGACTAGTGGTTGAAACTAAAATCACTAAAGAAGCAATTACATAAGAAGCAACTGTTGTTGACGAGAAAGAAAGTCCGGAGACTTTTGGTTAAAGTTTAGAGTCTTTTGTGTCCGAAGGTAACTCAAGGATTCTTGAGTTTGAGTTAGCCTAGGTTGTACTCTCTTGATAGTGGATTTTGATTTCACTGGACTTGGTCATCTGGCTTTTCCCTTAGAGTGTCCACGTAAAGATCAATTGTTCATTTCTTTATTTTGTATCTGCTTATTATTGCTAAGAATTTATGGTTTTTATTATCTGCTATGTTTAGAATTTGAATTTGTGTTAAGTCAGTTTTAAATTCAAATTTTCGCTAAAATTGGTTGTGCAACCATCCATCAAAGGCTCAGGTTCCAGTCCTTGCGCTTATCGGTATGAGGATTATGATCTGAAAGATATGTCATAATGTTTTACCATTTGTTTCCAGTTTCTGCAAACATAGATTACTCTGTTGCTGAGACCACTAATCCTATAAGACCATGGTGCATTTTGGCATGTCAATTTTAGTAATGGAATAAGCTTAGGGCTATCTATGTTCATGGTATAAGTCGTCGCGTTTTATTAAATTCGTGCAAGCTACTTATAAGGTGTTGGAAGGTAAGTTGAGAGCAGTGAAATCTTCATCGGAAAGCATCTGGAGTGGATGCCTTTGTAAATTGCACTACTTTCATAGACAACAGTCTTAGGTAAAATTCAAAACATTAATAATTTGGTCAAAAGGGCGTAGATGATCCCTAACTGGTATTTGTATGTGTAAAGGAGTAGAGGAACTGGCTAATCATTCGTTGGTGCGTTGTCAGACTTAAAATCTTTAGTTTTTTTTTTTTTTTTATAAGTAAAATTTTATAGAAAGCGCACAAAAGGGGAGCGAAACTCAAGAGAAATACAACGGGCTAGCAAGAGCCTCAAGCCTTCAAAGAAGCCAAAAATTCGACAATCTCCTCTAAAGATCTATAACTTTTCCCTGAAACCCAACAAAAAAGAGTGGAAAGAATATAGAATTTAAGAATAGAAATGGGCATCTCCTTCCTATCAAAATATCTCCTATTCCTCTCAAGTCATAAACACCACCAAACACAAAGAGGCGTAGCCCTCCAAGCATCCCGAATATGAGCCCCCACAGAACAGCCTCTCCAAGCCTCTAGCAACCCTCTAACGGATCCAGGCTTCACCCAGAGAATCCCAAACAGACCAAGCATCAAATCCCAACATTCCTTGGCCATGGTGCAATGTAAAAGAAGATGATCCATTTTTTCCTCATCTCGAAGGCACATATAACAACGATTGACCACCACCTGATTTCTTTTTCTCAAGTTATCCTAGGTTAAAACCTTTCCCAAAACAGAGGTCCAAGCAAAGAAGGCCACCTTGAGTGGAGCCTTTGAGCGCCAAACTAACTTCCAAGGGAAAGGACCTTCAGGCTCCTCCGTGAGACACCTGAAAAAGGACCGAACCTCAAAACTACCCTTAGAGTTAGAAGCCCAAATCCAACAATCATAATCTCCATCCCTAATCCCCTGGCGAGACAACAACTCCAACAAACGAATGGCATCCTCAATCTCCCAGTCCTGAAAACATCGCCTGAATCGAACATCCCAAAATAGACTCCCGCTATCAAGATAATAACAGTTGACTACCATGGCCTGACTATCCGTAACAATCCTAAAGAATCGAGGAACAGTTGACTACCATGGCCTGACTATCCGTAACAATCCTAAAGAATCGAGGAAAAGCAATAGCTAGAGGAAGATCCCCACACCAAACATCCTCCCAAAAACTGATCCTCCTACCATCCCTGAGACGAAAGCAAACATGTTTGGAGAAATCAGCCCACCCCTTCCGAATGAACTTCCAAACCCCCACTCCCCTTGGACCACAAACCTCAAGAGAGCACCACCCTCTTCTACTCTCCCCAAATCTACAAGCAACAACCCTCCTCCAAAGCCATACCTCTCCACCCCAAATCTCCACAGCCATTTCCCAAGGAAAGCTTTATTGAAAGGCACTAATCTTCTAAACCCTAAACCTCCACTCCGAATAGGCCTGCACACTTGCTCCCACCGAACCAGATGAAACTTGAACTCCTCTCCTCTACCCCACCATAGAAAGTTTCATTGCAATCTCTCAAACCTCTCAGCCACAAAAAAGGGAATCTGAAATAGAGAGATAAAATAAGTGGGAAAGGAAGACAGGGTGCTCTTAATCAGCATAACCCAGCCACCCTTGGAAAGGTACTGCTTCTTCCAACCCGCCAATCTCCTCTCAAACCTATCCACAACAAGATCCCAAACCCCCACACACCTTGAAGGAGCTCCCAGAGGCAACCCTAAGTAAGAGATAGGAAAAGAGGCAGTACTACAACCAAGAATATCAGCAAACATTGTGGTCTCAGGGACCTCCCCAACTGGCACCAAGACGCTCTTTCCCATTCACCTTAAGGCCGGAGACAACTTGAAACCAGATCAAAACGCATCTCAGACATCTAAGCTGGGACACATTCGCATCACAAAGAACAAGAGTATCATCAACAAACATCAAGTGGGAGATCTCCAACTGAGAAGCAGTATCCCCACCCACCCGGAAACCTCTCAGAAAACCCAACTCCACAGCCCTCCTCATCAATCTACTAAGGGCCATCATCACAAAAAGGAACAAGAAAGGGGAAAGCGGATCCCCCTGCCTCAAGCCCCTCGAGCTAGAGAAAAAACCCGTCGGAGCACCATTAACAAGAATCGAGAAATGAGCACTGGAAATACAGAAATAATCAATTTCCTCCAACGAACACCAAACCCTATAGTCTCCATTAAGTAGATAAAGAAGCTACAATTCACATGACCGTAAGCCTTCTCAATGTCCAACTTACATATAACTCCCGGGATCACACTGCTCAATCTGGAGTCCACACACTCACTGCAATAAGAACTGAATCCAGAGTCTGACGACCTCCCACAAAAGCATTTTGAGCATCAGAAATGACACCATCCAAAACCTTCCTTAGCAATCAACTTGTAAATGCACCCCACCAGACAAATAGGGCAAAAATCCTTAACATCCAGCGCTCCCCCCCCCCCCCCCCCCCCCCCCCCCCCCCCCCCCCCGCGGGGGGGCATTCAAGCTCTTCTCAAAGGAGCCCTGAGAATGGAAAGCATGAAAAGTGCCCATCACCTCCCCTCTCACCACCTCCCAACACTCCAAAAGGAATCTCATTGTAAACCCATCAGGCCCTGGGGCTTTATCCCCGTTACAGCTCTTCAAAGCAATCAGAACTTCTTCTTCAGAAAAAGGCTCCTCCAGACCAGAGCACTCCTCACTAGAAATAAAGTCAAATTGAAGCCCTTCAAGCAAGGGTCTCCACCCAGCAGATTTTGTGAACAACTTCGCATAGAACTCAGCAATGCCCTTACAAACCACCTCCTCGTTACATAACAACTCCCCATCCACCCGAATCCTCCCAATATGATTGCTCCTTCTATAAGCATTGGCCAATCTATGAAAAAACTTCATGTTACTATCACCCTCCTTAAGCCACAAAGCTCAAGACTTTTGCCTCTACGAAAGCTCCTCCATGATAGCGATCTCAGCAAACTCCGCCTGACACTCCACCCTCCTAGCCTTCAAGGAATCCACTAAGTCCCCTTGACCCTCCATCCGATCAATATCAGCAATCTTAGAAAAAACCTGATTCTTCCTCCACCCAAGATTCCCAAAGACCTCTTTATTCCATATCTTGATACTCTCCTTTAAAAGCCATAGTTTACCTGCGAGAGAATGACTTGGGGTGCCCACCACCCCATACCCCTCCCACCAGAATCGAACCCTCTTCAGAAAGCCCTCAACCTAAAGCTACGTAATTTAGAATCTGAAAGAAGAACATCTACTGCACAAACCACCACAATCCAACATCAACGGAATATGGTAATAGATAGGATGAGCCAAAGAAGCCAGAACCACATCAAAAAACTTGTCCTCCCAATCACCAAACCTAAAATCCTTAGTTGATTCATCAATCTCTTCAGTTGGTATTCACTAGGTTATATCAAAGATAGGAGATTGAAGATATAAGGAACAAGGGAAACGATTAATCATGCGTTGCCCGACCTAAAATTTTGTAGATGGTCGAGCAACGTCAAGGGCCACCTGTCACCTTAATACCATTACTACAAGGCTACAGAACCACAAATGACAACATCAAAAGCCTCCACTTTACGGAGGAGCTAACTACCTTTCTCTTTCCCTCACAGAGAAACCCCGCTCCTATTGGATGATTCCCTTCTGTGTTCCTTCAAAGTATTCCTCTCTACGAAAAAATTCTGAAGTGTATTTCCTCACTATTTATGAGTAGCCTTAATATGGGTTAAACCTTGGATGGCTAAATATGACTAGCAGTGATGATCGACCTCTCCCGGAGGTCAATCATCAGAATGGGATGCAAAGCCTTAAGATCAAGGAAGGCAACATCTAGCCGACCCTTCCTCCCTTCTTTTATGAACTCAGGAATCTAAGAAATAGTAACTAGGTGGCTGAGTTCCAAGGAATCACGTCATCAAAAAGGGGTGGTAGCTCTTAATATCAAATCAAGAGCTACCACCACCGCGAGGTCTACGCCAGGGGAGAGAATGTTTAATACTCAATAACCAAGCTCGAGGAGTAAGGACTAAGCGGCGCATTAAATGCGGTGATTGGCTAATAAGACCAGCTTTAAAGGCAAACCATCATCACTGCCTCGAATGGAGTCAGTAGCTTGCCTCGGGCCACCTACTAGATGTCTAAGCCATCAAAGGATTAGGTAAATTAACCATCAGATAAAGAGGAAGTAGCTCTCGTGACCAATAGTCTTTACCCAAATGAAAGGTAGTATAAATAGAATTAGGATCTAATCATTCAAGCCACAACAACCATTGATAGAAAAGTAAAGAACTCTAAGATTCGAGATTCCTAAGGGTATTAAGCAAACTTGCCTTCTCTCGCTCAATTTCTTCTAAAGAAAATCTCTTGTGATAGCATGGATCTCCACTCAGACTCTGATCTCAACGTTCTTAACAAATGTGGAACGATCTCCTCAATTTAACAAGAACCTACATCTACAAATTTTTAGTTGATTCATCACTCTCTTCATTTGGTATTCACTAAATCATATCAAAGATTAATGATTGAAGTTATATAGACATGTGCAGGTGTAAGGATCTCCATGGCACCAGACCTATGTGAAATGCTGCTCTCCTCAGTGTCTCATAGACACCGTTGAAGGAACAAAATAGGCATACTCTTGAGAAAGGATCATCCTATCCAAAATTTGAGTCACTATATGCTTAGTAGGCTTTCAGGAAAGTGGTGTGTATCTACTCTTCTTACTGATTTTCTAGGGGATTTAAGTACCAGGTAGATTTTAGACCATTGAGGAGGTTCTTGCATGTTCTGCGTGTACTGTGTAGTGCCTCCTTGAGCGCTTTCTAATGATCCTTTTACTGCTACTTATTAATAACTAATAATAATAAGTCTATCTGGGCTTCCAACGACAAGAGAATAAGAAACTTGATGGAGGGTTTCCAAACTCATTATTTTCAAAATGGTTTTAAAAAAAAAATCACTGACATTCATTGCAGAAGGGTTGCATTGGTTATCAAGTAATCAAAATACTGAAATGATTGTAGTACTCCTCCGCACATGCCAGAGAAACATGACAGGTTTCCTTCCATACAACTAAATGCTGAAAGACATACTTTGAAATTTTGAGATGGGTAGTAACAAATATTGCTACAAATCATAGATTTAACTCAAAACTAACCTGATATGGCTAAATGAGAAAAATAAATACATTAAACTTGAGACAAAAATAAATAATAAATAAATAAAATTGTGGCTACGAACCACAAATAAACTCTAATTTCCAATAAAGTGCATATTGGGAAAGTTTAGAACTTATCGTATAGTACAAATGAGCATATTGTCTCATAATGCAATGTAAATATCCGTAATTGAACTAAAACCATACACAGTCTCAGACAACAATAGTGCATTGCGTGAAAACCAAAACTAACCTGATACAATTAGCAAGGGATGGACGAATATAAACACATAAAAATTAAAAATACAGAGAGTAAACTGAATAGCAACAAATTCAATTAAAAACAATGTACACAAAGGTTGATTGATCCCTGTTGAAATTTTGTTCAGATGAATAAGTAATGTTAAGGTGCAAAAATGATGAGAAATTGGCTTACTTTAAGCAATTTTACGAGGAAATCTTTCCTAGGGCAAGTTTTTTGTGCGGCGAGTTGTTTACCGATATCGGAAATGAGTCGCTTTGCGGCCTCGGCTTCGGCCATTGCCGCTGCAAAGAAGATGTAAGCCCTTGTGGGTTAGGTTTAGGGATTGGAATTGAGAGGGTTTTAAGAGTCGAGTGCAGTGAGCTTTGACGCCGAATGTAAGTTATAGACAGAGAAATAAAAAGATATAGAAGCGATATAGAGAGAGAGAGAGAGAGAGAGAGAGAGGGGTTGAGTTTCCCGCCCTGGCGATGCGCGAAACGTGATGGTTTTTGCGACGTGGTGGTGATTGATGCACATCCGACGGCTCATTGTTTTTCCTTTTACTTTTTCTTTTTTCCTTCTAATTTTATTTTCTCTATAGGTGTTATGATATAACAATGAATATTCAATTAACAAAAAAAAATAAACAAAATAAGGTCAAATAATGAAAATGTCGGATTTGATCTTATGTTTATGGAAAAAAATGCTAGTTGAATTCACAACTACTCTGTTTTTCTTATTAGTTGCGATAATGCAATTTGTTTTGGACATTTTTACACTATAAATCATAACAATGAGATGTTATTTTAGACTGTGTTTGGATAAACATGAGAGAAAAGAAAGTAAGGGATAACATTAGTTATGAGAGAAAATAAATGAAATGAAATGATAGTTATAATTTATATTCATGTTTGGATAGATAAGAGAGAAAAGAAATGAATGGATAATATTTTTGTTTGGATAAAACATAGGAGAGAAAATAAATGAAATGATAATAATTAAATTACCATCTTATCCTTTTTTGTGGTGTTAGTTTCTCTCTCTAGAACACCCACCTGCCCTCTCTTGTGGCGTTAGTTTCTCTCTAGAACACCCACCCTCTCACTCATCATCTTAAAGCCCTTCCGCCATCTTCCAAGCAAGCCAAATCTGGTGCTGGAAAACAAAAGAAGAAGGTCAAAATTTTCTTTCGTATATATATGTATGAATTTATGTGTGTGTGTGTGTGTATTTATATATGTATTATAAATACGAACATGATTCTGACTCTAACACAGGATCAGGATTATTCGATCCAAGCTTCTTCAATAAAACGGGATCGGGATTATTCAATCTTTTTTTTCCCTCTCAAATCCTTTGATGAAAATGCTAAAATCCAATATTTTACACACACAAACTCTCTCTCCTTCATTTCCAATCCTTCAAATGCACCCCTAACATCTCATTCCTTGGCAGAACCATCACAGTCTCCAACACCCACTCCCTCAGACCTCTCCATCGTTCCATGCCTCTTCTATGCCGTCCAAACCCACTTTTTAGGTTTTGTGTTTCAAATTACAAAGTAAGCGTAATGTTGGTGAAGGCTACTTTTGTCATTAGTTTCCTTTCCCTCCAAATCCCTCCAAAATTTATCAATTTTGGAGGGATACAATATGAGGGATTTGGAATGATATCCGTCACAATCCTTTCTTTTCTATCCAATTCCTCTCACCCAATCACAATATACACTATCATTCCCTTTCTTTTCTCTCCAAATCACTCCAAATCCCTCAATCCAAACAAAGGCATAATAAATGTTTTCACTTAATTAAATTGGACATTTCTTTCTTTTGAAAGAAAGAGGAGTCATCCTCTCTTCTCTGTTCATCAGAGTCACTGTTCCTTATTGTGTTAAAGTTCTCTGTTCATCAGAGTTTGGGGCTGATCCCAGTTTGTAGTGTTTTCTATGGGATGGATTCTTTCTATTATCCTCTTTGTCGTTCCTCTGGTTTGTCCGACCGGAAGGGCTCAAGGGAGTTGTGGGGCTTAAAATCAGGGATTTCGCGCAGTGGACGGATTGGGACCAAATCTTTGCTACTCTTCCCTTTTGATCCAAGTATTGCGCCTCTTTCTTTTATTTTCCTGTCCACTGTAATTTGTTTCCTGGTTTTTGATGTTTTCAGGGTAATATGCTGGCCTTTCTTTTCCTTTTTCCATAAATGGGAAGCCCTATTTTTGGTGATTGGGCTTTTCGATCGTCGCTATACTCAGCGATGTTTTTCTAGGGAGATAGTTGATTATGTGGTTGAAGAATCGCAAAGGCTGTATTTGTAATGACCCGGTCATTTCCTTCCTTTCCTTTTTTCCTTAGAATTTTACGGATGAATTTTTTTTGTTGAAATTTATTTTCTGGGTTTGATTTCTTGTCACTTAGTGTTGTCTCGGGTACTCGGAATTAGTTTATAAGACTTTTTCTTTTGGATTGACAACTTCATTTAAGGACAGCGTCATTTCCACATTTTTCGTTTTTCGACACTATTCACTTTTCGTCTTTTTCTCGTTTGTCACTTTGTTGGCACAACCTCACTTTTCGTGTTCATATTTGATTCCAGTTTTGCATGCATTCACGATGTTTAAATTCCATGCTATGTGTATTTTTACTTTCTTAGAAAAGTATGCTAAATGTTTACTTTTCTTGTAAGGGGTATGAATGCATAACATTTTTGTAATATTTTTAACTTGTGGGGTTTTAGTGTAATTACATAAAGTAATTATTTTTCGTCTTAGAGACTATTTTGGAATTTAATTTAGAAGATATTTTGAAAAATGACCTTTTTGCAATTTTTGGAAGTGTGACAAGTGTCACACTCCTATGGAACCACTTGTTGACATTTTGGTGAAACCACTTGGATGCTTAATCTCTTAACACATGGAGGGTGGAGATTCACCCATTTGTTGGCCTAGGATTGGACCACTTGTTGGCTTGGATGAGTGACAAGTATATGCTCCAAATTAAGTCTTGAAATTATTTTTGGGCCACTTTGGGATTATGGTTTTAAAGAAGGATTTTTATGCAATTGACCAAACTTATGTGTGTTGATTATGGTGTAAAATCACATAGTGAGTGGAGGATTTCTATTTCCTCCATTCACACTTCATTTCATTGTTTCATTTTCTTCCTCACCCCAAACCCTAGTCACCATTAGAGAAGCTTGATGCTTAGGCCTTGACTTTGGTTTTTGAGAACTTTCCATTAATTTCCAAGCTTAACCTTGAAAATACTTTTTGTTCCCCTCATCCTCCTCTACATAACCCTTGAAGGGTTTGTCATTTTGTGTTGATTTGCCTTGGATTCAAGAGGAACAATCCTCTTGTGAGGTAGGGGGTGTTATAATTTATTTTCCAAGTGTTTTACTTGCTTTTGTATGAAATATAAGTTATATGCATGTCTTTTGTTAATTTGAGAAATAAATTATTTATTGTAACTTGCATATAACTCACTTTAGACTTGATATATGGCATGGCCATGACTTGATAATTGTTGTATATTAATTTGGGATGATTTAAATGAGTTTTCAAATCTAGAGATTTAATGAATTTAAATTGATTTAAATTTTACAAAATTGTACCTTGCTTGTATTCCATTTTTGACTTGATATATGGCATGGCCATGACTTAGTCCTTGTTATATATTTATTTGGGATCATTTGAACAACTTTTGAAAAATTAGAGATTTAATTAATTTAAATTAATTAAAATCTACATGATGGAGACTTGCTCATTTTGCTCTTTTGATTTGATATATGTAATGAGCATGCTATGTTGTTTAACATATATTAATTTGAGGTTATTTGGAATTGATTTGAAATCTAGAAACTTTCCATGATTAGGTTGAAAATCTCTTAAAATGTAGTATGTTTAATTACCTTGTGAGCATGTTACTAACTTGATGTAGAATTAGTACGTATGGCTCCTTAAAATGGTAATTGGACTTAGCATGATATAAAATATCATTGACTTGTAAAGCTTGTTTAAATATATATCTTTTGTAGGTATATAGCTTGTTAGAATATTGCAATTGCTTACCTTAAAAATTAGTTACTAAATTGTAGCTTATTTAGTACTTGTGGTTTAGGATGGTAGTGTAGCTCAATTGTTGTAAGATATTCTTGCTTTATGTATAAATTGCATATTGAGGACATGACATGTCATATGCTATTTATACTTGAATTCTAGGACTTTTTGTGGATTCAACCTTACTTGTGCATGGAATGTGGTAACTTGCATTTGAGTTTATATAAGTTTTGAACTTATTGATTTTGGCAAACTTGTGAGGACATAATTTATTTAATGGCTAGGGTTTAACTCTAGTACGGAGATAAGAGTCTTCTAAGTCGTAAGTGCGCACTAGGTGGTACCTTGTGGGTCATAATTACTCGAAAATACTTGCTTGGTCTAGCGACCGAATGTCTTAGTCTTTCCACTATTTGTTTTTCGCATTTAATTTCAAGTTGTTAATCGTGGATTACTTGTGTCTTGAGAATTGATGCTTACTTTGGGTATTTGAATCCTATTTAGTATACTTAAACTTGTATACTTGCTCCATGAGTTTAAATTTCATTTAGTATACTTGTATTATGTATATATGTCACATGTGCAATCCTATTAGTTTAGTATACTTATGTTTGTGTACTTGATTTACGAGCTTTCCATATTAAATGTATACTTGAGTAGATATGTTTGGACGTTTCATAACTTGTTTTAATATGGTTTAGTATACTTGAGCATGTATACTTGTATGCCGTTGTTCACTTTAAATTGCATGAGTAGCTCAGGATGATTCCTGAGTCTCACTTTGACATAAACTTTAGGTAGCATGATCCTTTTGAATCGTTTCAAGTTAATGTAAAAATCTGTGAAGAAATCGAGTCTATACATGCTCATTCCCTACGAGTAAACTTGTTTATTCACCCCGAAGTTATTGGGGGTTTTGTTCAGGTACGAAGACTTGGTTCGTGATATTCATCATTGCTTGGATAATTGTAGACTTGAAGGTTTTAATTCTTGTAAAGGTTGGCTTGAAATGCCACTTGTAACCTTATTTGTCAAGATGTGTACATTTGATTCCATACATATAATGTGTACATGAGTATACTCTTTACAATGTATTTGACATGTTTAAGATGAGGCCATAGGCCAATGGTATCTAGTTTGTATCCTATGTAACTTTCAACTTCATGAAATATTATGAAAATATTGAAAAATGACAAGTCTTTGCTTCACTATGTTTGCATCAGTTATGAAAATTCCATTTTTATTCTTTCATAGGGTCTCATTAATCATGTATGTAGTGTGGCCTAGGGAAAAACGGTAATTTGATACCATTTCACATTTTTGGATTTCAAATTTTCCATTTCAAGTCCATTTTTCTCATTTTTGGCCGTTGGGGGGTCAGATTTTGAGTTGGGCCTTCTCGAGAGTCGCAGACCATTCCTGCGCGTTTGAAAACACTAATTACACTTGCGTGCACATTCGTTTCAACCTAGAAATGCATTTAGGGCCAAATGCATATTTGGTGCAAAATTGCATTTTCTGAGTTTTTGACCCTTTACTGATCTAGGGGCATTTTGGGTATTTCACAGT